TTTATTTATTCATGAGAGGCAGAGAGAGAGAGAGAGAGAAGCAGGCTCCCCACTGAGCAGGGAGCCCGATGAGGGACTCGATCCCAGGACCCTGGGATCATGACCTGAGCCAAAGGTAGACGCTTAACCATCTGAGCCACCCAGGTGCCCGATTTTATTTATTTGAAAGAAAGCACGAGTGATCTGAGGGGCAGAGAGAGAAGCAGACTCCCTGCTGAGCAGGAAGCCCGATGCGGGACTCGATCCCAGGGCTCTGGGATCACGACCTGAGCCGCAGGCAGATGCTTCACTGACGGAGCCACCCAGGTGCCCCGATGCCTGTGGTTCCAAGCTTATCAGACCTAAGGCCTCATTGTCAACCCTGAAATGAAATAGACACTGCCTATGTACTTCTTGAACTGTAAGAGAAAGGCGAGTAGAGAGTAATTTATGATAAAATCATCTGTAGGATACTGCTGGAAGTCCTAGTGAAGTCTCCAGGGCTTGAGCTTCCAGGTGGAAAGATGACAGCTACACAGGCAGGTGGGTCTAGGTGTGGGGTGCGGACCCCCCACGCGCCTCAAGTGCGCTGAGTCTAACTGCTGCCGGAGCTGTTCCTCCGGAGTAGCAACCAATGTGAATTCCCAGGCAAAGTTCAGTCTTCTCTCAATTTACACGGTCATAGCATTCCAGGAAAGGTCAATATATATAAAAACCATGAGGAAAACACTCTGTGTTTGTATGTAAAACAAAGTTGGGCTCCAAGTTGACCTAACTAACCCAGCGAACCTTCCAGACTTCCTCTTACCAGGTGAATTCTCTTTCCGGGCACCCCGTGCTGCTTCTTCACAGCACTGTACGCCATTTGTGGTCATACGTTCACATGTCTTCTTTTTTATTTATTTTTTTAAAGATTTATTTATTTGAGAGAGAGGGAGCGCGTGAGCAGGGGAAGGGGCAGAGGAAGAGGTTATGTAGGCAGACTCCCCGCTGAGCATGGAGCCCAATGCTGGGCTCAGTCTCATCACCCATGAGATCAGGACCTGAGCCAAAACCAAGAGTGGGATGCTTAACTGTCTGAGCCACCCAGGCACCCCTGTCTTCCTTTTATTTAAGTCCCTGTCCCCCACTAGACACAGACCCCATGAGGTCTAGATTGTGACCTTCCCATCTTTGTATTCCCAGTCCTGAACGTGGTGGCGCCTGGTACTTGGGACATTTCCTGAATGAATTCCTAACAGCGTTCTTGTGCACTTCCTCTCCGTCCCGGGAGTTCTTAGAGTACTGTGCCAAATTCATCTGCGTCGCCAGTGCTGACGATGGTTCCTTTTTCATATGGAAAACAATGGTCAAATATTTAATAAGTGAACAGAAGGGAAATTACCATTGGGCTATCAGTGTCTTCATAAGTGGGCTAAGGACACATTTCGACACATGCTTCCACAAATCCTCCAGAAACTGCTGTGCTAGAGACATGGTTGTATGGGAATACTCTTCACAGCTGTGGTTTCAGCAGAGAACCTTCATTTTCACCGTGTTACCAATGACCTCCGCTCTAGCTGCTGTGTAGCAACCAACCCCAAAACTTAGGAGCTTAAAGCAACGATGAGTTGGCCATTTCTCACCATTCTGTGGGGGTGGCAGTCTGGGCAGCAGGGTTGCTGGCCTTCTTGGGCTCACTGGTGGGGCTCCAGTCATCCAACAACTCGACTGGGGCTGGAGGGTCCAAGGCAGCCTACCCCACACACCCAGCAGCAGTCCGGCTGTCAGCGGAGGTGCTGTGGTTCACTTCCACATGGACACTTGGTCTTCTAGGGGGCTAGCCCAGGCCTCTCCGCTATTTGTGGTCTTGAAATTCGAAACAAGTGAAAGTAAAGGCAGAAAGTCCCGGGTGAAGGCCTGGTTCCAAAGCTGGCAGACCACCACTTCCACCTCATTCTGTCAAAGCAAGTCACAGTGCCACCCAGATTCAAGTGGGTGGAGACATGGGTTTTCAGGAGCCGATCAGCACACTGCAAAGAGCAGGGGACTCAGGGAGGACACTCACTAGTGGCCCTTATTGTCATGGCCTGCCACAGCCATCTCCCTGGAGCATACTCTTCTCCTTCCTGGTTCTGGAATCTGAAGGGCAGCACTGGCTCTTTCCTTTGATGGAGGTCCTCTGGCACCCGGGGTCTCCCCTTGGGACTCGGCATCTCCTTCTCTGGCCCTGGAAGTGCAGAAGGTAGAAGAGATGAGGTTGGATGTGTTCTTGTTTAGATTTTGTGTGGTTTAATTTGGGGAGCGGGACCTCATTTTTGCTTTGATTAAGTCCTCATATCATTTTATTTTCTTGCCATTTGCCTTGTTTCTCTTCCAACTCAATGGCAATAAAAAATTGAGTTAATGGAGCATTCTGGCTAGTGGTTCTGTAGACTTTACTAGAGAAGTACCTAAGAGTTGAGAGCACTGATTCTGGAGCAAGACCCCTTGAGTGTGAATCCTGGCTCTATGACTTGCTTGTGGGGCCTTGGGGAAATGACTTCACCTTCCTATGCCTCAGTTTCCTCCTCCCTAACCCGGGGATCATGAGGCCAAGGGTGAGGCTGTTGTAGGGATAGAGCAGGTATGCAGAACAGCTGGGAAAGTGCCAGATCAGGACCCTTGCCCACAGGTCAGGTAGTCTGCAGCTTCTGCCATGGATGGGCTTTTTTGAGGGGGGGTAGCTTGGGGAGGCAGAGGAAGGTGGTGGCTTAACTAAAAAGCAATCTGTAGTCTCTGGTAGTATGTCCGTGAAACAGCAAAGCCAACATGTGCATGCCTCCTGCTCATAACTGTGTCTTATTCTAGCCCTATTACGAGGTATTTGTGCTTTCGGTATAAATTATAAATCTAAACACATGCAGGGTTTGTTTTTCCCCCAAAGCAGATTCCAACCAGCATGAAACCAGCCAACCCAAATAAATTGTGCACTTAAGTCCATTGTTTCCAGCAACATGTAAACTGTTGGGTTGTAGAGAATGGCTTTGAAGAGGGCGCCCCATTAGTGTTCCTAGCATCAGGGTTCAATTTAGGCAGTGCATATTTGAAGAGTTTACTAGAAGTTTGTGGCAAAGAAAGACATGCATGCTCGGGGAGGGGGGCAAAGGGCTCTTATCAAATTGTACAGGATGCATTTAGGCGGTGTTGTCATAAAAGCACAAAATAAAGCAACAGCCCTGAACTCAAGGAGACTCGCAGAATTCCTGAGCTGGGGAAGTCATTCTGGGAATGCAAAGATCGCTTTCAATGTTATGTTTGTAAGGAAATGACAGTCACCAAGTGGAGAATGTCAGGTCCTCAGAGAAACCCTGTGGGCACTCACGTGCAGAGAACTATTTACTTAACTGGAGCTGGTTCTGAAAATATTTGACTCTGGAGGGTCCCAAAGGGAATGCGGAGGGTGGCTGGGATTTTCTCTCAGGTCAGGACTCGGCTTTTGCTAATCCCCCCAGCTGATAAAGCTCCAATCTTCAGGGCAAATTCATTCCTCTGCTGAACCAAGGTTTATGGCCCTGGCAGATGCCAGAGCAGGAGCCGGTCGTTCGAAAGGTTTTCCCAGCAAAACAGAGCCTTCTTCTATCTGATGGACTGGTAGCTTTTGCCACAGTGGAGCAGAGGTGCCTGGGGTGAGGCTCTGGGTGAAGATGAGGGTGGAGGAGAGGCCTGCGAACGAATGATCCGGGCATTTATCTCCAGGAAGAATCCAGCAACGTGACATTCTCAGCAGCGCTGAAGGTTGACAGAGCTGACAGAGGAGAGGAGTTTTGACAGCACTACCGGGAATATGATGGATTTTACCAAGTAGGCTAAGTTTGGGGGTTTGTTCTTTCCGTTAAGCTCGCACCCCCACTTCCCAAGTGGGAGGTTCTTTCACCACTCCAGACTTTGTCCCCGCGGTCTTGTAGGATGCTGGGGCGTTAATGGCAGTAATGAGTCCAAAAAGCCAGGAGTGAGGCCACCTGGTTCCCAGTCTGGCTTCTCCATGAGAATTGGACAAATGAGTGAATTCAGCCCTTAATTACCGAGCACCTACTCTGCTCTGGGCACGAAGTATGCAATGGCACTAGGGTTGTCCTGGTCAGGATGGACCAGGTGGAGGAGAAGGCCGAGAAAACAGGTAATCTCATGGGATGACACGAGGATGATGATGATGATACGGATATTTAACAGGAGCCAGACAGGGTCTGCAGACTTTCCACGTAATGTCTTGTGCTTTCCAAGTTTAACACACATGCAAATCACTTTGAGATCCTGGTAAAATGCAGGATCTGGTTTGGGAGGCCTGGGGTGGGATCCGGGACTCTACTAACAAGCTCCAGTCAGCTGGTCCCCAGGCTTCACAGTAAGAAGGAAGGTATTATTTCATCCAATCCTCAGAACATACCACTGAGGCGCTATAGTTATTCCCATTTTACAGACAGGGAAATGGAAGCCTGGAGAGGTCAAGTGACTTGCCCAAGGTCATAGAGCTGGGAACAGAGGAGCCAGGACCGGACTCCAGGGCCTGCGTGCTTACCCAGCTCTGCCATGGTAAGGCAGTGGGCGTGGCGCCAAGAGGGGCACAGTGTCCGGAGGAGGGGCTCAGAGAAAGCTCTGGGAGAATGTGCCTCTTGGTTGGGTGCCAACAGGTTAAGGGTTAAGGTATTAGCCAGGTGAGAGCCAAGGAGGGTGGTGAGAGAAGCCTGAGGGGAGAGAGTACCCAGCTAGGTGGCTGGGGAACCCACAGGACAGGGCCTGGCACAGTAAGGGCACTCAGGCTGTTTATTCAGCAGAGCAGGAGAGGGGCAGAGACCAGGGCTCTGCAGGGCATGAAGGCTGCCCTTTCTGGCCTTACCCTGAGGCCCCGAGAAGGAAGGTTCTCTGGAAAGATGACATAACCTTTCTGTTTACTCATCCTTCCCTGACACACCTCCTTGGGGCATCCCCTTCATTCTCAAAGGCACTGCCCCGCCCAGCACTCACTACCTGGGCTGCAATGAGCACTTGGCACAGTGGGTCTCTGTTTACACATCTGTCTCCTGCGAGAACATTTCCTGCTTATCCCTCTCTGTCCCCAAAATACCCAGCCTGGCACGTGGGGTGACAACACCTGACCTGCTTCCATCAATGAGGATGCTGTGAGGGGGGCGTGGGTGGACATGGAGAGAAGAGTCCAAAGGAACTGGATATGCCGCACCGTCTGGAAGGTGTGTGCCCGTCGAGGCTGTCGCGTGGGTTTTGGGACAGTGGGTAGTGGGGTCTCCCTGCCAGGCCCCCTCTTTGCCTAGGGTCCCCCAAATGCCTGCAACTCAGGCACCACTGTGACAACTCTGGCCATATTCATCCCCAGGGGCTCCCATGTACTTAAGATTTTCCTGTACACTGATTTCCTTTTTCCCCTACCTTCACTGTGACAGATTTCCAACCTGCACAGAAGGTGAGCGAAGAGCATCAAGAACACCTGTACGCTCCTCCCCTAGATCTACCAAGTGTCAACGTTGTTCCCACAATCCATCTGCTTTCTCCATTTCTCTCCGGGCCTACATGTTAAAAACAAGTAGCGCGGGCTGATTTTTCTCTGGGTTCATTAAAAATATTTAAATAAACTTTGGGGCGCCTGGGTGGCTCAGTCAGTTAAGCATCTGCCTTCAGCTCAGGTCATGATCCCAGGGTTCTGGGATCGAGTCCCGCGTTCGGCTCCCTGCTCTGCGGGGAGTCTGCTTCTCCCTCTACCTGCTGCTCCCCATTTGTGCTCACTCACACTCTCTCTCTGACAAATAAATAAATAAAATCTTAAAAAAATATTTAAGTAAACTTTAACACTTAGCCTAGTTTTAGATTCAAGAAAAAGCCAGAGAGAAAAGTACAGGGAAGTCTTTTGCACCCTACACGCGACCTCCTGCATTACTGTGGTACATCTGTCCCAACGAATGAACCAGTGTGAATATGAATACGTTGCTGTGAACTCTACTCCACGTCCTCCTAGGATTTTGTGCACTCTCCCCTCACCTGGTGGACTCATTATTAAACTTTAAAAGATTCAAAATAGGAAACTGTCCACGGAAAAGCATCGTCACTTGCCAAACACTGTTCTAGCTAGACGCCGTTGGTTGCTGAGCGACTGAAGCCTGAGGCCTGCTTTTTCTTCATTAAAAAGAGAGATTAGTAAATGTTGGAGAGGCAGTCAAGTCAGGCGGGCACAAAGCTGAGACTTCTTCACAGGAGCTTCAGCGTTCTGTCGGGCCCAGCCCCTGCAGCCGTCTTGGGCTCCGCCCCAGTGGGAGCCCCGTGCACCGTCTCCCTGGGCCACGCGCTCTGGAAAGCCCAGGTCTGAGGCCCTGGGGCGCGCTGGAGGATGGAACCTGTCTTCTGTACCGTAACTCCCCTCACTCAGCTCCCGAAGCCACTAGGCGTGGGACAGGTGAAGAATCCCATCAGTAGCACGAGAGGGGCACCGCGTGCCTGTCGTGTCCCTGAGATGTGGTCCCTCGTGTCCTCAGTGATGGGGAAGGGGACTGTCGAAACTGCTCAGTAGCGCTCTCTCCGTAAGGCCTGGACTTGTTCACATTCAACACTGGCAAGTGTTTCAAAATGGTTTTCACGTTTTCTAAGTTACAGTAGGTGACGTTTCCTGAAACCAAGTCAGCACTTTTTAATACTTTCCTTTCTAATATATACCTGCTGTCCTCATTTTCAGGAGACCTAAGCCCCCGAGGGAGTCACTGAGACAGCTCTCCTGCTCTTGAGGAATTCACTCTGTGACAAGTCACTGCTGGCTCAGGGGTCCCACATCTAACTGGAGGTGATCACACCTGAGTGTCTGCAGAATCGCTGGGTTCACTCCTCAGCACGGCTATTGAGTTCTCTGTGGACGTACTGGAGAATTCTCGGAGTTAGTCCAAGGGAGCACATGCTAGGATGAAATTTTCTCTGCACCCAGGTGCGGAGGAGGAAGCTGCTTAGGACACAGGTAATAGATGACTCCATTTTCACTTTTCTTTTTTTTTTTTTTTAAAGATTTTATTTATTTATTTGACAGAGACACAGCGAGACAGGGAACACAAGCAGGGGGAGTGGGAGAGGGAGAAGCAGGCTTCCCGCCGAGCAGGGAGCCCGATGTGGGGCTCGATCCCAGGGCCCCGGGATCATGACCTGAGCCGAAGGCAGCCGCTTAACCGACTGAGCCCCCCAGGCGCCCCCATTTTCATTTTTCAAAATGAAACTGTTACAGGGAAGAGCACCATCCTTAAACCATTTTCCTCCCTTTTTCCCAGAGCTAATGACCCAGTTTGGGTGATCTTTTTCAGGCTTCACACGTGTTTCTACAGTATCTCATTCTTTGTGTGTGTACACAGGGGAGGGTTACACAATCAGGATTATATCAAATATATCATTTTGACCCCCTTCTCACTCAATAATATGTCTTGGAGACCCACTGCTCTTGTTACCTACCGACTCAGCTCATTCTTTTTAAACTGCTGCCTGGTAAGCCACAGCATGACCCTTCCGCATTCGGTGTAATCAGTCATTGTTTGATGGATGTTTACATTATTTTCAATTGTTTCCTATGATAAAACTTTTTTTTTTTTTAGCAAACCTCTGTGTACATGCCTCTTCAGGCACACGCACAATTTATGTCCTGGGTGGGTGGCGTATATGCTCATTTCTGGTTTCCAAAGGTCTTGCCAAATTACCCGTCAGAATATGTGTGTTGCTCAGTGTCAGTTGCTATTCTTTGGGGCTGTTTATTCCTGGTTTCTTGTCTGCAGTGGCTGCAGGGTGGAAGGGAGCCAAGGGAGAGAGAAATTCATCTCTAGGTGTTACAGGCTGGTTGGCTCCACAGGGCCAGGCCTCTCTGTGGTGCTGGTCAATGGGGGCTTTGTTCCCAGGGCCATCCCTGAGCAGAATCCGAAAGCTGATGTGCCAAGGTGACAAAGGGAGCCATTCGCGTGTTGTGCCTGGACTCCACCCCCTTACTGAGACACCGTCAAGTTTGTAGGAGTCGCACAGGCAAATGTAATAGGGGCGGCGGGGGAGTTGTGGGGAAAGCCTGAGAACATTAGGTTGTAAAAAAAGGAACAAAGCAGTAAAAGAAGCTGACCACTAACTCTAAAGATGTAAAGGGAAAATGCCAAGCTAATCCGCACCCCAGGAGAAGTGGGAGGTGCAGAGGGGACAACGGGGGGGGCGGGGGGGGGGGAGCACCAGGACCATAGGAAGAGGTGTGTGGAGGATGAGATCCAGACAGACGGAGGGGGAGAGGGAAGAAAGGAGGAGAAGGAGCGAGGAGGGGACATGAAAGTGGCAAGGTAAGAGAGGACGTGGGGGCGGAGGAGGGAGGGCAAGGCTGTGTCCCTGTCTGTTTGTGATTAGCACACAGCCCGGCGCAGAATGGAGTAAACAGAAACTTCCAGGCGTCCCCACACCCCCCTCCGAGGCGAAGCAGAAATCAGATGCTCCGTGATTAATCGTAGAGAGTTCAGGACACGACCACAAGCGCTGTGCGGACTTGAAATTAGCTGCCTTTTCCCGTCCCCTTGCCAAGATGGGAGTGGGGGGTGGGCGTGAAGGGCTGGGGGCCCCGCCTGCTGGGGGCCAGCATGGAATTCTCCCTGGCAGAGCTCAGTGACACTGACGGGCAATCGGCCGCGTCCAGAGAAGCAGGCGGCATCCGGGGAGAGCGGGCCGGTCGGGGGGGGGCCCCAGGCGGGCTTCCTGGAACCCCGGCTCCACGGCCGCCTGCACCCGGACACAGGCCAGATAAGAGGCCGGCTGCACTATCAGAGCCCGGCAGCGCGCTGTCCCCCAGCCCTCGGCACCGCAAGGAAGGCCGGGGGACAGTGGGCTCCTTGTGAGCAACCTCTCGAGTGGCTAGTCTGGACGGGCTTCCCGGAGTCCCAGCTCGACTCCTGCCGCGGATGGGAGCCGCCGCTCACCTCAGCGACCGAAAAAGCCAGGCTGCCTGGAGGAGGAGGTGTGCTCCGGCCTGAACGCCGGTACCTGCTCGCTGGTGAGTGAGGCTGGTGTGGGGACCAGACGCTAGAGGGAGGTGAGGTGTGAGGAAGCCAGCCCTTGCACATACTCCACCCTGGAGCTCGCCCGGAGAGGGGAGCCAGCGAGGGGGCCAGATGGGACTGCAGGGGCTTGCTGTGTGGCCTTGGGCGAGTTCTCTCCCCTCCCCGGGCCTCCGCTTGTCCATCTCTGCAATGGAGTGGCTGGAACAACTGCTCTTTAAGGGTCTTTTACTGTGACTGGGTTTCTTGTGTATCTGCCATATGCCAGAAGCTGTGCGAGGCATTTATGAAGCTCTAGCTCAGGGAATCCCCACGAGCCACCGGTGGGGCAAGTATTACCTTCCTGGTACACTGAGCAAACAGAGGCTCAGAGAAGTGAAGTGACTCGCCCAGGGTCACACAGCTGGTCAGTGGCAGAGATCAGAATCCGATCTCTGCCTTTCTGATTGACTTGCCCTAAACTGTCCACTTCCAGGAGTCTGTATTCTGTTCTGATTCCGTGATCTCCCCAGGAAGCAGGGGTGCAGGAGAGTGTCGGGGGGAGGATTACCTGTGGGAGACAGGCAGAGAGGTCAGAGAGAGGCAGCCACAGGCTGGGCAGGCTTCAGCTCTGGACAGGCGGGGGCATGCGCCCCGGGCAGGGGCTCCTGGCTGGAATGGAGTGCCCGATGCCTCGTGCTGGGCTCACCATCCTGCTGTAGGAGGCTCCTGGGGACGGGAGAAGAGAGTGAACATTAGGCAGGGGTGGAGAGAGCTGGGCGTGGGGAGAGTGGCACATGCCTCTACTAGGTTTTGTTCCAATTTTATTTTGCTTTTCCAAAAATCTGTTTCAAATCATTCTGGGCCCCCACTGCTCCTCTGGATGAAACAGAATTGTGAAACACATACAGAGCTTTGCACACGCCTCCCCCAGGGGGGAATCATGCATTAATATTATCGGAGGCTATTTGCATATACAGCCTCACAGCTTTGGCTGCGCCAGAGATAAGCTGCAGAGTCCGTGAGTGTCTGCCCGGCACTGAGGAGGAGGACGCACGTTACATTTGAGGGCCCGGGAAAAACACAGCAGGGCCGAGGCAGGTGGGAAATCCCTTGGTGCTAGGCATCTGGGCAGAGTTGGAGATCCCGGCACCCAGATGTGGCCTCCTCTTTTCTCTCCTCTTGGAAAATTCCACCCTGCAGCAGCTCTGTACTGACTCAGGCCTCCCTTCCTTCTGGGGATTGGCTCAGGCCCTCTGCCTTGGGCTTGAGTCAAGACCTGAGTGGGGGTCCTGGCGCCACCCAGTCCCGGACACACCGGGACAACTGGTCATCCTACCCACTTCTGCCCTTGATTTTTCTTGTAACCTTGACCAAGTGACCTCCCATCTCTGGGTCTCTGTTTCCTCATCTATAAAATGAAGGGATTATTTTAGGAAATCTCTAAAATCTCTTTACAACTTTTAAAATTCCGAGAGCCTGCTTGGAGGGCACTTAAGTTCTCAATAAGCTTCGAGAAGATAAAGATCTCCCACGAGCCCTGCCGCCAGGAAGGCGCCAGAGAAGGTGGGCATGAAGGTGGGCTTGAAGAAGGGACTGACGGCCTCCTTACTGACATCAGCCATCCCAGGCCTTTGGCCCTGTGAGCTTCTGAGGAGCCGAACGGACTGCTTTCGTGGGGAGTGATTTAACCCAGATGCGTGCTGGCTAGGAAGCCCTTACCTACTCTGCATCAGAAGCTCAGAACCCCCATCCCAGGGCCCCCAGTTCTTTCTGGGGAGCAGGGAAGGGGTATCTCACATGTGCCCACCAATTGGGCTCCTGCCCTGTTCGTCTTCTCCTGCCCCCTCCTGCCTCTGCCCACACGAGATTCTCATAGCACCCCCACCCCCCACCCTCTGTGTGCCCGAGCTGCTCTGGGTTCTGGGCAGAGATGGAGGGACTAGCTTCCTCCCCAACCCATGACAGTCTTTGCCACGTGGTCCCTACACTGTGGTGTGCTGGAGCCAGCTTGCCCCGGCTCTTGAAAGCCAACGGTCAGACTGTCAGAAATGTGGTGAACGAGTTGCTAAACAGAGCCATTATTAAAAATTAAAATTCACAGACTTACAATTAAATCAATGATGTTACAAAGGTAAGAAGTACTCACTGCTCATCCCTTTCCATGTCTGAGAGGACATTTTGCTGCTCTGGATGCTCCCGAGGTTACTTTCGTCTGTGCTGTCCAGTGGAAGCACATTCGATAGTCCGCTGTTGCGCATCTCTCCCCAAGTCCACGTGAGGGGACCCCAGGTTGGTGGCCTGGGAAATCGGCCCCAATGGGAGTCCTTAAACCACGGGAACCGGTAACAGGATGACTCAGGGCTCGATTTATTGTTTTGCTGACTGACTAGACTTGAGGGAGGAGATAGGAAAAGTTAACGATGCAGAGTAAGCATAGAAGTGTGTCTCCTCTGTGGCTGTCCCGTTGTGAATAGCCCCAAAATGAAGGCACTTGCTCGCTTCATTGACAAACTACCCTTTGTTGTATCACTTTTGTCTGACTCCTTAAAGTAAAAGAAAATACCCACCAGCCTTGGGCTGCCCTCACTCATCACCGGAAGCGTAGGCTGACTACAGATACAAGGGTTGGGGGCAAAAATCAACCGACCCCTTCCGTGTGACTCAGTTGAGTATATATGAAACTTACAAGGGGGTATTGTAAATTTTATTTTTATTTGTAAATTGTGTGCTGTACAACCTTTACACCAGTACAGTCTATAATAAACCTAACTGTGCGTCTATGTGCATATATTCATATGTACACGTGTGTGCGTGCACACGCATACGTGCACACAGACACACACGCTCTCTCTCTCCTGGAGCACTGACTGCTAACGGCCCCACAGCACATATGCTTGTGCCCAGGGTCTCAGAAATCCTGGCATGGACCATCCTTAGCCCTCACCCAAAGGGAGTCAAACTCTAGGCACTGAGCCTGGACACAAATATTTCAGTTTCCTCCTCTTGCCTAAAACCCACCAACAGCTCAACTCCTCACTCCTGTTCTGAGCGATGGAAAGGATGCAGAGACTAGGCTGGGTAGGAGGTGGCATCTACACAGGCCGCATCTGGGCCCCAGTGCAGACGGCTGTGGCCCTGGGCTCCTCACTGCCTTCCCAGGCTCTGCATGCAGGGGCATTTCTGGTGACCCATTAGGGGCAGCTCCCCGTTAATTCCATCCACTTAAGGTCTTGCTCCTGCCGTAGTTTATTTTCATGTGCAGAGCACGACTCTCTAATAGAAATGGCACATTGGAACAAGTAGAAGTAACAGCTAAGCCAAACCTATAGGAAAGTTAAGACAACTTTCTATTTTTAGAAACCCTGGGAGCCAGGTGGGCCCTTTCCAGATTCTCCCAAGCCAGTGAATGGCCGAGGAAAGTATTTCTCATTCCTGAGTTCCGTCTCTTACAGTTGAGGCCAAGGAGGAGGCCCAGGTGGGGACACTGGCTCAGAGCAGCACGGCTCTGATGGAGAATGGAGCCATGCTCACAGCACTTTTAAAACTAATTACAAATAGGTTTTATAATTATTTCATTTTGTGTGCTCGGAAGGGTGATCCTGAGTTTCAATCTCAGCGGCTCCCACCCCAGACAACCACTGTTAAGAGTCAGGTATCTATTCTTCCAGACCATTCATTCACTCTTTTTTGCATCTTTCTTTTCTTGTAATTTTAGTTTTCAAAATCAGGCTCATTCTGTACATTCTATTCTGCATCTTCCTGTTTCCACTTGATAATATATCCTGAGTGTTCATCCACGTTAGCTCATGGAGACCTACAACATTCCTTTCAATGCCTGCATATCAGAAGTCCCAGGAGGTTGGAAGAAGGGATCTATTCTGATAACCATATCTCTACTTTCTAACCAGGTCTCAAATTATTATTATTATTATTTTTTTATCAAGAACTTCAGAAGTTCTTTTTTTTTTTTTAAGATTTTATTTATTTATTCATTTTAGAGAGTGAGAATGAGAGAGAGAGAGAGAGAGCATGAGAGGGGGTTGGGTCAGAGGGAGAAGCAGACTCCCCGCTGAGCAGGGAGCCCGATGCGGGACTCGATCCCGGGACTCCAGGATCATGACCTTGAGCCGAAAGCAGTCGCTCAACCAACTGAGCCACCCAGGCGCCCTCAAATTTTCTTGACCCCAAGACACACAAGTAAAACCAAGCTGCTTCCACTTTTCAATACAAAGAAATTCTACTAGCTTTCCCTTCAACCTGTAACTGGAAAATGACCGCTTCCTGTCCCCTCCCCTGCCCTCACCCTGGTCCCTGGTCCCGGAGGCCATTTCTCTCTCAGTTGTTATAGTTGTCTCCTCATTGGTGTCTGCTTCCCTTGCCTCTCTAATGGTGTGTTCTCTGCAGCCAGCAGGGTCCTGTTAAAATGAAATCAGATCCTGTCCCTCCTCTGCTCAGAACACGCTCCTGCCCCCTCCAGTCCTGGGCCCACCTCACCTAGAGTAAAAGGCCAAGTCCTCACCATGCCCAAAGGCCCTGTAGGATCTGGACCTCATCTCCCCTGCTCTCCCCCTTGCCACACTTGCTTCTCAATTGTGCCAGGCACAGTCCTGCCTCAGGACCTTTGCACTTGCTTTCCCCTCTGCCTGGAACACTCCTTCTCCAGATCTCCACATGGTTCATTTCTTACCATTTACCGTCATCTAGCATACTATATATTTTTCTTAAATAACCCCTACTGGAATGTGAGTTTCCTGAGGGTACAGATATATATATATATATTTTTTTTTTGGCCTGTTTTGCTCAGTGTTATATTCCATAGTAGGCACTCAATAAACTTGTAGAACTACCTGGCTTGCTATGTTGCCAAGAGTGACAAGGCAGTCAGACCTCCTGGGAGAACCATGCATTCAGGTCACTAGGAATCTCTAGGCACATACTACATTTCATTTACGAATACCACGTTTCAACACCCTTGCCAACTCATGCAGTGGCCGTTCATCTGCATAACAGTGAG